TGAATATTTTCTTAATAAGGACCACTTTTTTTTAAATGGATTAGTCTCTGATATCTTTTAATCAGAAAAAGGGATCAATATTATTTGATTTAAACATTGTAAGTGTAATGCAATCACGTTAAAGTCTAATATCTTACATTTGCAGTATAATATGATGTTTACAAGGTGAAATCCAAATTCCTTTTTTATGAAAAATGGTTTTTTGTCCAAAATGGTCTTTAAGATTGACATAAGTACTCACTTTGGTCCCTAACTGAAAATCGATACAAGTTGTCCCTGAATTTGTCCATGATATGAAAAATCTGGCAATATCCTTGTTAAGTAAAGGGGTTGGTTTGACAAAACTACTCTTAAAAAAGTTGTCACATGGTTGTACATAGGGGTGGAAAAAAATCCAAAAAATCTTGAACCATACCGAAAAAATCCTGATCCTAAATCGAAAATCCTGAAAAATTTGGTACCAATCCTGAACCGTTCGGTACGGGAATTGGTCTCACATTTTCCTTTGTTCGGGAATCCGAAACTGATATATATATATATATATATGTATGTATGTATGTATGTATGTATGTATGTATGTATGTATGTATATGTGTGTGTGTGTGTGTGTGTGTGTGTAAACATTTTTAACAAACATTCAAGGGACAAATATTTTAACAAACATTTTTACACTTTAAATTTTCACGATTATAGACCTCCTTTCTCATTTTCACGATTATAGCTACGGTTTTTCCCCTTTTAATTTTAGTTTTACTTTTCTTCCTAATTTTATGCTTTTTCAATTTTATTTGTATTTTTAATATTAGTTAAAATCCACATAAGTATCCAAGTCATTTAATGAATAAATAAGAACCCTAAAATGTTATAAAATCCAAAGGCTACAAAGAAGTGTAAAAATATTTGTAAAAATATTTTTCCCTTGATCATATCCCATATATATATCTCTACTAATTAATAAAATACTCATTGTCAACCAAAACCGTATGAAATTACCAGTTTAACCCTCTAATTAAAATAGAATATGAATAAGAAATATGGGGTAGAAATGTAATTTCACACAACCAAATTTTGCTGTTTTTTTTTTCTTCAAAACCTCACCTACATGTAATCCTAACATATCTCTAATTTAAAAAATTTTAAAAAAATTCCCACTCCGGCATTCTCTATCACTCTCTCCCTCTCTTATTCTATTTCAAAAACAAAAAAACAAAAAAAAAACAAAAATTCACACACTTTGTGTGTGCCCATATGCTTTATAATATTACTTAATCAACCAAGCCGTTCCTTTGGCCAATAACCATCTTTCTTCACTACATTTTCCTTTTTTTATTCTTTCTTTGTCTGCCATCTTCACTAACCATTCATTTCCTTTATTATTTCTTGATAACATCACTGTCTTCGCACTCCAACAGACAGCCACCCTCTCTCTCTCCACCGACTCCCTCAAATGCAGAAGCAAGCCCAAGGCCTCCAAATGATTTCTCAATCTTCAAAAGCAGCCACACCTGTAGCCTGCTCTTCCCAAAACACCATACCCATTGCAGCCTTCGTCTAAGGAACCCAATCAATCTTCCAAGACATCAAATCCATCGTTGCAAAGCAGAGTAGCCCTCTGATGGCGATTTCATTCGGCAAGACATGGAAAAGCTCACACATAGACGAAGATCAGTACCTGATTTTGTTCGATGCACTTCGCAAAGCCCTCTAACTTCCCGAAGGCAGCAAAGACAAGCCCAAGAATGAGAGGGATGGAGATAAGGATGGGGAGGTTGACGAATTTGGGATGAGGTGTGGCCGTGTGGGTTGGCAGGGAAGGTGAGAGGTCGATGAATCCTGAACCATATCGAAATCCTGAAAAAAGGAATTCCAAAATTTGGGAATACTGAAATTTATGTTGTGTTTGGTTTCCGAAACCCTGTCCTGAAAAAAAAAAATTTGGTTTGGAATTTGGATCCCATAGCGAACCAGCCCTAGTTGTTCATGTGACAATTTGACAAGAATGTTGATAATGTTTTTGCAGAATGATCTAAATGATTTACAATGGACAAACATATGGGCTACTTCTATCAATTTCCATTGTCAGTAACCAAAATGGTGAGTCATACCAATCTCAATGACCATTTTGAATAAAAATTAAAAATTAAAACTATGAGCATTTAGTTTTTATTTTTTTTTAGGCTTATTGTTTGGAATGACTCGTGAACTAATTTCAATCGTTACTTTACACTCTGAAACTCGATATTCTTTTTACCTCACTAACACCTAAACCTGCAACCATTTCTACTTTTCCTCCCTTCCATAACTCTTTAATGAGGGACAAAATGACTTGTTTGCCTTCAGAAGTTTTTCACATAGACAACACTTGACTAAGATGGAAGAATGTTTGATGGACAATTCGAAAATCTAAAAGTATGAGAAACTTAGCTAACTATATAAGTTCAGTGGATAATTGGATAAAATATAAATAAATTACCAATGCCTTGCAAGTTCTTGGCGAATATTACCTTTAATAAATAAATAAAAAATCAATTGGATAGGAAACAAGCATATGCATGATTGGTCATATTATTTTTATCACTTAAACTAGCAGACAGCACATTTTGGGTGTGTGAACAATTTCTCTTAATATTACATAATTATTGTTTTGTCCTCCTTATGTAAATATTGTGTATCAAAAGTGAGGGTAAAGTAGGAAAAATAGGAATATGATTGTCATTTTGTCAAAAGATACAAAATTACTATTTTGCCCTTCTCATGTCAATAGTTTTTCGAAAAATAATGGCAAAATTGAAAAAAAAAATATGAAGAAAAAAAATTAACAATGGCTCTTGTTTTAATAGAATAGATATACAAATATTTGTACCATATGATATGGCAGATTATCTGACTCACCACGTCGATTAAAAACAATTCCTTAATAATAATAAAAATTGAAATTAATCTGACCCTGATTTTGGGTTCTTTTGTTTATCCCATTCCTGCCTCCTCCCTCTTCCGTCGCCTTTATGGCACCGAATTACTTCTCACTGCTCCACTGATTTTTCAGGGAATCTAAGGAAATTAATTAGGGTCACTTACTTTATTCACGCGTACCTTTTTTGAAATAAAATTTTTTTTTTAAAGGAAAGTGTTGTATTGATTCAAATCAACTCATAAAGAGCTATATATGTCTTGGAGAATGACATTCTGAATGAAAGTAGGAGGCTTCTCAATCCAAATTAAATTATTCCTACTAGTTGAAGCAAACTTTGCAAGACGATGGGCAACCACATTACATACACGAGAAACATGAATAAAATTCAAAATCGAGAAGGAGGATGCCACCTGCAAAACATCATCCGCAATCAAACCTATTGCTGACGAGTCTGAAATGGTCCTATTGCGTGTTTGTAGTGGCCTTCATGAAATCACTCCCCACCACGACCTAATCAAGACCGTGCGTATGGGTTAGTTGGATGATGTGACTCACAACAAACAGCTTCAGGAGCGGCACATATGTGATGCCTGGATATTGCCACACCCCAACCGCCAAAACCCACCCCCCCCCCCCCCCCCCACCAATCCCATATCACAGCTCCAACACCACCCAGCTTGGTATTGACATAAGTAGCTCTTCATGAGTTTCATCAATATTTAACAAATGTGTTAGTCCAAACCCAATCCTGGGCTATTTGCCAAATTTCCCTACTTATTCCCCCACCCCCCCCCCCCCCAAAACCCAACCCAACCCAACAGAAGCCAAATGCCAAACCAAGGCCACCAAGAAATAGCCCAAAAACACGTGGACTCTCCCTTTCCTAGCCCACTCTCGGCCCGATCACGCGCCCCACTCACCCCACGCAGGCTGAGTCAACGCTCGATAGGGTGGGACCCGCTGTCAGGGCTTGTGTCGTCCACCATTATGAGCCCAATGGCTCTTTTTATCATCCAATGGCTGGCCTTTTTGGACCGTTGGTTGATCTAACGGTCCAATTTCAATTTTTGTTTTTTAAGAAAAATGTAATTTTAAAATACATTGAATCCAACGGTTAAGATCGAATATAATCAAATCTAACGATAAAAAAAAAAAATTTAACGGCCCAAATTTAAATACAATGGCTAAAATAATTATAAAAAATTGTTTAACTCAATATTCACCCAAAAATGGGGAAGACTTCAATAATCTTCCCATTGTTGGTCCGCATCGGTTGCCCACCTCGGACAATCCTCATCTGCATTTCAGATGCTAGCCAATGGGTGCTCTGCAGACTCAACTAACGAGTACTGCCGACTTGCAAAGACTACTACTATTGAGATTTGTTCGAGTATTTCAATGATTTTCATATTCTTCCATAGTGTTTCATGAGTTTCATGTATCAATTTAGTGATTTTTCAATATTTATCGGAATTTAAATATTTTTAGATTAAAATGTTCATAAAATTAATTTACGATAGTCTACATAATTTTATTTTTAAAGTAAATTTAAGAAGAAAAAAATTAGCCTAAGTTCATTCTTTAATAATTCCAAGTTAAAAATTTAGACCAGAAAGGTTGGAGCAGAAAAGCTGTTTCTAGGCTAAAAGCTAAACTTTTCGAGCTAAAAAATTTGGCTTTTAGCCCAAGGGTTGGAGATGGTCTTAGAAATGTCAACGATATATGTTGATTTTAGTCTAAATTTAAAAGTTTCTCCGATATGAGTTGAAGTTTAGATTTCACTCCCCATTTCCATATCTTTCTTTGATTCTTTGGATATTTCTAATGACATATAGACCCGTGTCAAAGAAATTTTAAACACTAGTGTCAGACCGTTTTCTTACCACTAAAAAGTGTGTGAAAGACTCAAACGACTTTAGCAAACTTCTCAGACACTGATCACGATCAGTCATTTTTAAGTCAGTACCATTGTAATTTATAGCTAACCCATTATGTGACCTATTAATCCGAGTCTCCACCCTCCACCAAAAACATGAAATCAAAACAAATATGAAATATGGAAACACTGAATGGGGAAGAACAGTAATGAGAGGCCCAACGAATTATGCAGCTACTTTCCCCCTTCCTTCTTTTATCATACAATTTATGAAAATAGCTGTTCTATGTTACAAATCAAAATTGAGGTGGGGTTGCAAATATACCACATCTAGTTTTCTCAAATGCTCAATTAGGATAAGCTTCTCAGCTCCTAACCAAATGACAACAAAAAACGCACAAGCCTTGGATATATATCTATCTCCCTTTCTACGCAAACCATTTCACTTGGTCGCGTTTATGAAACTTTCCGTTTGAATGAATTAGCCGTTGGGGAAAACCACCCGTTGAATCCAAATAGTGAGCCCTGTCCCCGAGCACGCCATTACGTGTTGAGTGTGTCCCCGTGACGTGTGACGACATTCGTGTTTGAGACGTGTTGAGTCATGGTCACTGCAACAATGCTGATCACATGAATGCAGCTTAAAAACTCATATACTGTCGAAAGTGCCCAGACGCCTCTGTAGCTTTTGTTCTAGTGTGGTCCTATCAAGGGTTTGCCCACACCACAGGTACGAGGTGAAGTGTGCCCTTTGAGTTGTTCAATATGGAATGACATACGGCAGGGCATGAACATCAACAGACTCTATCCGCAGAACCTCTGACCATACCTCAGGTGTCTCCTCGAACCCTGGAAATTCCACCTTGGGTTTCTTTGATTGGGCATCACTGCACCCAAACAACCAATCTTGATCGTCATGATCAGGCACTTCGTCCAACTTTGGAACCAAATAAACATGGCTTAGATATCTGGAATCCGGATGGGGTGGTCTCATGCATGCTTCAGCAACAGGAACAACCTGTGTAGCTGTAGATGTCGGCTTTGCAGTGGAGACAGCCAATGACGGAGCTTCAACAATGCCATTTATCTTGCTGTCCTTAACGTCCACCTTAACGTTATTTGCAGCACCCAGCCTATCTGAAACATATGGGATGGAAGGGATGGAAGTTTGGCAAGATTCCAGTGTTCTCCCATTTACAGGCAATGAATGAGAGGAAGAGGAGGGTCTCGACAGTTTACTGGGCCTAATGTCATTGGCTGTAAGATCAGAAAAGGAAGCATCATTAGTCAGCTAAGAATAAAAATTACCAAATCTTGAACCTGCTTGACAAAATTGATTCAAGAGCACTGCCAATTGACTGATACCAAACTGGAAAACAACAATATGCGGAATCAAAGGTAGCAGAGGATAGCAGAATCCAGCTTTAGTTCCAAAAAGTGCGCCTACAACCTCCCTCGGTTGTAGGCAAAAAGAGGCCAACTTGTGTTAGACAACTACATAGCATGATTGGGATCCAACGATGATACTTAGCATCATAAAAAAGAACTCACCATGCACAACTCCATTCATCTGTATGTCCCTTCTTTTCTTCAGATTTCCATCAGCACCAGCACTTTTGTTGCTGTCCATAGAAAGTTGGGAGGTTTTGACACTACGGGAATCTATGTGATCCTCTTTATTGCTCTTTCTTAATTTATCAGGCTCAGCATTCTTAGTTTCATTCTTCTCCTTTGCTTTCTCTTCCTTTTTCTTCTCTTTGTTTGGCTCTGCATTCTTAGATTCATTTTTCTCCTTTGCTTTCGCTTCCTTTTTCTTCTCTTTATCTTTGTCCTTGTCTCTCCCTTGTTTTTTCTTCTCTCTATCTTTTTCCTTGCGTTTTTCTCCTCGTTTATCGTCACCTTCCTTCTCTTTGGCCTTTTCTTTTCCATCAATGTCTCTATCCATGTTGCTTGCCAATGGTCTGGAAAGTCCTTCAACTTTAGGTTCAACCACACCAATAAGGTTCTGAACCATCGTGTTCCCACTAATCTGTGCTGCACCCCTGACTTCTTGCCCATCTGTCCTTCTGTCATCAACTCTCCTGTCCTTGTTCTTTTCCTTAACTTCAGCCAAAATGTCAGTACCCTCGGCCAGCAATCTGACCATCCCCTCATCCTTCTTTCGGTCTGATTCAGTAATCTTCCCAACCAGATGGTTACCAATTGCCCCGGCCTCATCTTTACTCCTACCCAACTCCACCAATACAGAGTTCTGGTTTTGCTCAGCCAGATGACAGTACTGACTGAGTTTCTCTGCCTGATGACATCCAATTTGCCCTGCAGATCTCTTGTCAAAACAGTTGCCCTTGTACTCTTTCTGAATGTATCTCTCTTCACCATGACCCTCGGTCTTTCCTGGAACTCTCTTCTCGTCTGCAGTACTTGTTTTGTCCTTAACCGGGTCCCTATCTTTCTCCTTATCCTTCTTTCTGTCTCTCTTTTTTTCCTTCTTGTCTTTCTTTTCCCGATGCTTTCCTTCACTTTTATCTTTACTCTCTCTCTTCTCTTTGTCCTTCTTTTCCTTTTTATGCTTCTTTTCTCTGTGCTTCTCCTGTAATTATTGACAAGTTATAAAAGAATAACTGGTAAGGATATATAATCAAGGTAAACACATCTACTGATTTAATAGATATAAATAAATAAATAAATAAGGAGGTTTCAGGAATCCATACTGATTAAACACATAATAAGGACTGACTTGCGAGAAATGCCACAGAAAACAACCAAATCTAAACCTGAGTGAATTCTTTCAGTCTTTGGACAATATACTACTGATGTCTACTGATATGTCCACCGTCCAAACTTACCCCATACCGGTAAAGATCCTTGCTTTCCTTTTCAAAAGATCCCAAAAACCAGAAAAGAACAAAGGATAACAAATGTTCACAGTTTTCAAATAGTTTTGGCACTTAAACTATCAAATACATAGTTTTTGAAGAAATAAAACATTCTGTGAATAGTACACGAAATGTGAAATAGACCTACCATCACTCGCTTGAAAAAAAAAAAAAAAGGAAAAAAAAAAAAGGACTCGTTTTATACATAACCGGAAAGGGAAAGTAAAAGAAAAAAAAAACATTTTTTAGGTAATAGAAATTACAATTAAATGACATGTACAAAGCAGTGTCACTAGTGCATCGGAAGTGCAAAATTGTACTGTGCCAACAACCACCACCCACCAAATCATTGCAACGTGAGAACCACCATAAGATTGTTTCCTCACAAATAAAATTTCAGAACTTAAATAGGAGAAGAGAATACTAGCAAGACAGACAGTCAAGTACAAAGTAAGAACTTCAGGCTTATAAGATGGTGCAGAAATAAGATATACAAAGGCAATCCAAACCAAAGTTCAAGACAAGAAAAACAGGAAAAACAACCAAAAAAGAAAATTAGAACATTGTAAATACAAACCAACAATAAAAGACTGATCATCAAAAAGCCGTTATCACCAAGATAAAGGAGAAGCAATACAAGGAAACTTCTTTGGTTCATAGCTAACTTCCAACGCAGTGTCCAAAGCAGAATACAGATAACAATTATCCATACTCTCCAGTTTCCCAGCCATCAATCATATCCTACCATATAAAAAAAATTAGCAATCCAAACTTCAGTGGACAAAGAAAGGAGGATGAGGAGATCAAGACAAGCAAATAGGGAATGAGAAAACGGAAAAGAAAGGAAGATTGTACAACATGATAAAAGCCCAAATCACAAAGTAAAAAAAGAAAAAACGACAAAAGACATTCTCCCCGAAAATCCAGGAAATTTGAGCCTGTTGATTCCCAAAACAAATTCTATCCCAGAATCTCTCTGTTTCCTCACCCTAAATGTTTCTTTTTCCGAGAAAAGAAATAATTTTATTGCAACAAAAACTATAAAACAACAAAATAAAATGCAGTCAAGAGGACCACTAAAGGAAATAGAAACGCACGAGGGAAACAAACCCATCCTAAAATCTGAAAAATTAGCAGGCCTACAACATCATGGACTCCCCGCCAAAATTAGTAGAGAAAGGAATAAGTCTAAATTCATTAGAGACAGATGCCTAGAGAGCAGACCAAAACTGGACCTTATCCCATAGCTCCTCAGCCCCCACACCACCATAGCCTCCAAAAGCTCTTTATTTCTTTCAGTCCAGACCACACAAATCACAGCAAGAACCAAACACCCCCTTATAACTCTTGCCTTCTTGCTCCTACTAAAACTCAATAAAAGGCAGCAAGGAGAGAAATTCCTCCATTTCACCATCGTTCAGATTCGTACCCCTAATATTTTCAGAACCCTATTACTTCTCAAAAACACACGCTGCACAATTTAGATATCACCAAATACACACTAGCTCCAAACAGTTTGTGTGCCAAGCTTTAATGAAAGCATACAACGAGGAATAGATAATCTATACTTCTAGGTTCCTTTTGCACATGATGCATCAATGCTGGGCTAGACTAGGCATCCTTTGAATAATATCACAAGTATTGGCTCCACTTTGACAAATAATTCAGGCCTATAAGATGAAATTGGGGACTGGACGAATATGACATGACAGTATGTTTAACTAGCTGATGATTTGTATTGGAATCCTTAAACTATGCGAGACCCACTGCTCAGTATAAGCTCAGTTTATGCATCAAAACATATCATCAAGATATAATTGGAATCTGATAGTCCTAGCACTAGAAAAGAAAAAGGCCTCGGAGTACTGATCCAACTTAGAGAGTAACGTAAACTATTGCTGATTCAACATGGCCCCACTGAACATGAAAAGAAAATGTTCTCCTGGTCACCAGGTGACGAAGGAATTCACGGTCACTAACCCTTAGATTTGATCTCGAAGCTTGAGATTAAAACATGAAAAGCACCACCATTTACTCTCTGCCGCTGATATCAAATCCAAAGGTGGGTAACATATAAATCCTTAGTAAAAGCGGGACTCGAACATGAATTGGGTACAAAAATAAAAAATAAAAAATCAACCTAATAGTCGCTAACTGGCAAAATGACTATGATTATTTTTACTGGACTTCAGTCACGACGATACTTATTTTGTTTGTGTATCGATGAGTAAGCCATAGTAGTTAATTGCTGGAACTCACTTGTATGTGCCTAATGAATGATTATTTCGTTTTACCATTTTTATCTTTTTGATAAATCATGTCCGTAATGAATGTCATATGAAATAAAAGATATTAATGAAACAATATAAGGAAAGAATTTTAACCTTTTTCAGCAAGTCCACATCATCTGTCCTAGTCTTTTTTTCATATCCAGGTGGAGGAAATGGAAAGCAGCGCGACATTGCATAAAGCCCGACAGTACCAAAAACCAGTATCTTCCAATGAAGAAAAAATTAGTTTCCAGTAGCACTGTTCCAGAAGGGGAACGAACCAGCAACTATGCTCCTGTCCATGCACCATGTCCCCGCATTCATTCCCAGCATCAAAAATCCGTCATTAGCTTCTCAGTCACTTCAACCAGTTCTTTAATCCTTTTTACACAGATGTGCAGGCACGTCAATGAGATATCACACCAAATTCACTTGAAAAATCAAGGCTCAGCACAAGCATGACCTCAATGTAAACAACTGCAACACAAATCTGAACTAACTACTCCAAAAGCTTTTCTGCCAAGAATGTTGTTCAAACTAAGCTAACCAGAATGGTTTTTTGAGAAACAAAAAACAGTCCACCACAACCTAATCGTCTGTGTTGCCTTATGGGCCAATACAATATATCCAATATATCAGCTACCCCTTACTACCAAATACCAAAACGAAATTGATTCCCAGCTGAAGATCAAGCGTGTAAAAGCTGCAAAAACCCAGAAGCCCCTTGCTCCAAAATAACGATTCGGCAAGTCTCTGATCACTCCTGTACCCAATTCAATATGTGCAATCTTCTTCCATGCTCAGAAAAACAACACTTTCCATAATTCGATGCAATCTCTGAGTTCATGTACTCACCCAGCACTGCCAAATCCACAATTCCATTCCCCGAAAGATCGGAGCTTATGCTCATTAGATGCAGGGCCGCGATGATCCCAATACTACTCAGTTCCTTGCCCTAATTAGTCCAAAACTGCAGAATTGGAGCAGTACCCAGTTGCGATCCAACAAAACCCTAGAAAACCCACCAAGAAAGGAAACACCAACTACCAAAAACCCTAATCCCTCTCCTCAAACAAAAAATTAAGGGTAAAAATTCAAAACTTGAAGAAAAAGAAAAAAGAAAAGAGAATCGACCCACTTTAAAATTTCAATTTTTATTTCGGGAATATCGATCAAAAGGGCAAAAGAGAGTGGATTCAAAGGTTTAAAGAAAATCTGCAAAATCTGAATTCTGGGTATTTGATAAATAACTGGTGAGATTACCTCGTCCACTACAAAGTGGGCAATGCAGAATGAAAGAGGAGATCTCTCTCTGTCTTTCTCTGATAGAACCCAAATCTTAACGCTAGCTCAACCTTAACTCTTACACATGGAAGAGGGGGAAGGAAGGAAGAAGGAGGCAGAGCTCCAATATATTTTTGTATTGATTTCTATTCTGTAAATTTGATCTATTCTGTTTTCCGGGAGCTGCCCTCCTTTTATACGGACTCCACACCTTAAAATGCCAGCTGGCATATTTGACAGTGGGAGCATTTTTGCTAGGCATCATAAACTATGATGTATGCTTATCATACACCTAATCAATTAACACGTATGCCTCAACTGATTAGATGTATGATGAGCATGCATTATAGTTTATGGTAAGGCTGGGCATTTGAAAAAAAAAAAAAAAAAAAGAATCCTACTTAACCACCTGAAACGCCCTGACAGTTTGGTTTTTTTTTTTTTAATTTTAATTTTCGATAGTTAAACTGAACCGCACCGATCTTAATCAATTCCCAAAATTCTTAGAATACGGTTAACTGAACCGATCTGCATATATTTAATTTTATTTATGAGTTACCGTATTTCCACCACTTGAAAACAAAATCTAATTAATTTAAGAGTCCCTGTGAAGAAGAACAAGGGGCACCATTTGGAGAATGGGCAGCTGTTGCTTTGGTGCTCTCCTTGGGTTGCTTCATTTGTGCTTTCCTTTGAACAATCATTCGTATTGGTGTTACATTCTGTAGCTTTTGAAAGAGAAATCTATTATATATTTTCGTCTTCACACAAATAGAGAACCAACTTAAATCAACCTGCCACTTTCGCTTAAATGACTTGATCGGTTTTAAACCAGCTCGTTGGTTTGGTTTCAGTTTTGGCCCAAAACTGTCCCAAACCAACCCATGCCCACTCCTAGTTTGTGATGGCAAGCAAAAATGCTCTCTTTAATAATGCTTAATAACAAAACTAAAGCATAAAACCTTCAATTAACTCTCTAAATCACCGATCAAGGCAATTGAGTCATATTTGGGTTCAAACAGTATTCCCCCCTTGAAAATTTGCCTTGTCCTCGAGACTTAAAAAGGAAATTATAGAAACTTGGCCTTGTAATCATCATAGTCTTTACCCTGTAGCAATCTGATCAAAGCTAAATAAATTGGCTTTGATGATTGGTTTATTACTTAAACGTTGATAAACGTACTTATTTCTATTGTTGACACATTATTTAGTTTATAAATTTAATCTCTCTAGCATTACTTCATTTTTAATCTTAGAAACTCATTGTCCCAATATTAGTGCAACTTTCAGATGGATGAGACGCATATTTGGATAATCATTTGAGAGCACGAGGAAGAATGCGTTATTAAACCAATCTTCAAAGCTCAGGTAATTTTTGAGCTCGTAATAAACATATGCAGCAGCACCATAAGCAACATCTTTTAGAAGCAACCCTGGAGTCGTGTCAGCCACTGAAGTTGGGCAACCATTAGGGATGCGCAAATACTCATCGGGTATGGTTAATTGAGGTTAACTGTGCATTTAATATTAATGCTAGTGGAAATTTTGCACTAGTTTTGCCTGATGAATTTCTTATATGATTGCCCCAACCTTCTTCTAACAAATCTGGGTGGGAAAATGGGGCCTCCATTATTTGGAAAAGTCGAAGCACTTTAGTGAAGCTCGTTTATGTCTTGCTCAAGTTCCAAATATGCCCTTTTCGAAGTTGACATTATCATATTTCTGTTTTAGAAAACAATGCTCCGTCTCTGAAACTAATCATTGAGATGAAACTCTTATGAGTTTCGATGGAAGAAGAAAGAAAATTTGGAGTTCAATAACCAAAAATCTAAGGATCCAATATTCAGACGGTATATGTGAGTGTGGTGATGAACCAGCCAGACGAGTATATCAATAAATAAAAAATATGTTGCTACCTCTTTCTACAAAGGTTGATTCGTAAAATACGGAAATGCATGCTAAATGTACTTATAAATGGGTAAAAAATGTGTAGACAGGTAAAAAAAAAGGTAAATGGGTAAAAATGGGTATGCGGTTACGGTAAAATAGGTATGCGGTTATCGATATGGTTAACCGTTTATAAACGATTATGAGTATGGGTATAACCGTTTATACAATTACCCAACAGGTAAACGGTTATACAATTAAGGGCTTAAACGGTTATGGGGAAATAAATGTAGTTAACCCGCATGTCATAAACGTTGCCCACCCCTAGCAACCATTGTCACATCCCGGCCCGGGCCCCCCACCACAACCCAGGCCCGATCCACCACCGTAGCACGATATTGTCCGCTTTGGGCCCCGACCACGCCCTCACGGTTTTGTTTCTGGGAACTCACACGAGAACTTCCCGATGGGTCACCCATCCTGGGAGTGCTCTCGCGCGCTACTCGCTTAACTTCGGAGTTCCTATGGAACCCGAAGCCAGTGAGCTCCCAAAAGGCCTCGTGCTAGGTAGGGATGGGAATATACATTTAAGGATCACTTCCCTGGGCGATGTGGGATGTCACAATCCACCCCCCTTAGGGGCCCGACGTCCTCGTCGGCATATTTCCGGCCAGGGATAGGCTCTGATACCAATGTCACATCCCGGCCCGAGCCCCCACCACAACCCGGGCCCGATCCACCACCGTAGCACGATATTGTCCGCTTTGGGCCCCGACCACGCCCTCACGGTTTTGTTTCTGGGGAACTCACACGAGAACTTCCCGATGGGTCACCCATCCTGGGAGTGCTCTCGCGCGCTACTCGCTTAACTTTGGAGTTCCTATGAAACCCGAAGCCAGTGAGCTTCCAAAAGGCCTCGTGCTAGGTAGGGATGGGAATATACATTTAAGGATCACTTCCCTGGACGATGTGGGATGTCACAACCATTTATTGCCTCTTTAAGGATGGAAACCACAACATGAGCTAGAAGCTGGCTTCTTACTAATATGTTGCACAAGAATACTATTGGGGTGCGTTTGTTGCATCGGACTATCTCAGACTGGACTAGCTTCAGGGACTAAACTGAATTAAATTATTGAAGCGTTTGGTGCAGTATAACTCCATTTTCATGCACACCCATTTTCAAACTCTTGATCACGAATGCTTTACTCTCTATGGCACTAGCAGCAGCACCATGCTTCTGAATATGTGGCTCAATACGGCATGCACTCTCAAACAATTTCAAAGAACTTGTGAGATTGTTGGCCACCAGGGAAGTGACGTCCTTGAGGTAAGGGGTCTGTGCAATCAGTGACTTCCTCAGATTAAGCGGTAAGACATCAAATGAATTGGCTTCATCAACGCAATATTGTTTCATCTCTGCCAAACATAGCAACTCTGTGACCATGAAGCAATGATCTTCAAACAAAATGGCCCAAATCTATCAAAAATCAGAGGAAGAATGGTAATTTGGAAGACACTCCCATAAGAACCTATATCAGGAAAGTATCACTACTAGCTAATCAATTGACACGTGTCATTTCACGTAACTCTAGTTAACTCTCTCACATTAAAGGTTACTTTTTCAAATTTAAAAAAAAATAAAAAATAAAAATAAAAAAATAAAAAAAAGTTAACCAAAGTTAAGTGGAAGCATATTTGTCAATTGACTAGGTGTATGGTGAGCATACACTAGTTTATGGTGATGAGCAAAAATGCTCATGTTATAAACTCTCTAAAGTGAAATTAAGAACCACCACTAATACTATAATCTAGTAATATTGCTCTCTATTTGGAGAAATATTTTGGTGTTCCGCGAACACAGCCTATTATGCCAAATGTCATTACACAATTGGTTGAAATTTGTTTTCACTTGGTGTATCGGACCGTTTTCTTGGCACGCTGAAAAGTGGTTGTCAAGGACTCAAATAACTTAAGCAAACTTTTCGATCATTGATCACAATCAGTTATTTTGACTCTTGTAAGTATAAGGTCTTAATCTGTTTTTCTTGAATAACGAGTACAATTGTAATTTATGGCCGACCCATTATGCGAGTTACTAATCACAATCTCCACCCTCCACCAAAAACATGAAACCAATACAAAAATATGGAAACACTGAATGGGGGAAGAACAATAATGAGAGGCCAAACGAATTATGCAACTACTTTCCCCTTTCCTTCTTCTATCTTACAACTTATGTAAATAGGAGCTGTTCTATGTTACAAATCAAAATTGTGGTGGAGTTGCAAATAATACCACATCTAGTTCTCTTAAATGCTCAATTAGGATGAGCTTCTCAGCTCCTAACCAAATGACAACAAAAAATGCACAAGCCTTATATGTATCTATCTCCCTTTCTACGCACCCCTTACGCTTCGTCGCGTTTATGAAACTTTCCGTTTTGAATGAATTAGCTGTTGGGGAAAACCGCCCCTTGAATCCAAATTGCCAGCCCCGTCCCGGAGCATGCCATGACGTGTTGTGTGTGTCCCGCGACGTGTTGAGTGTGACATTTGTGTTTGAGACGTGTTGAGTCATGACCACTGCAATACTGCAATCACATTAATGCAGCTAGAAAACTCAGAACCGTCAAAGGTGCCCAGACGCCTTTGTAGCTTCGATTTAGTGTGGTCCTATCAACTATCAACGGATTGCCCGAACCAGAGTTGCGAGGTGAAACATGCCCATTTGAGTTGTTCAATATGGAATGACATACGGCAGAGCATGAACATCAGCTGACTCTATCCGTAGAACCTCTGACCATACCTCAGGTGTCTCTGCAACCCGTGAAGATTCCACCTGGGGTCTCTTTGATTGGGCATCACTGCACCCAAACAACCAATCTTGATCATCATGATCAGGCACTTTGTCCAATTTCGGAACCATATAAACATGGCTTAGATATCTGGAATCCGGATGGGGTGGTCTCATGCATGCTTCAGCAACAGGAACAGCCTGTGTAGCGGTAGATGTCAGCTTTGCAGTGGAGACAGCCAATGACGGAGCTTCGACAATGCCATTTATCTTGCAGTCCTTAACGTCCACCTTAATGTTATTTGCTGCACCCAGCCTATCTGACACATATGGGATGGAAGTTTGGGAAGGTTCCAATGTTCTTCCATTTACAAGCAATGAATGAGAGGAAGAGGAAGGCCTCAACAGTTTACTGGGCCTAATATCATTGGCTGTAAGATCAGAAAAGGAAGCATCATTAGTCGGCAAAGAGTTAAAATTACAAAAGTTTGAACCTGCTTGACAAAATTGATTCAAGAGCACTGCCAATTGACTGATACCAAACTGAAAAACATTAATATTCGGAATCAAAGGAAACAGAGGATAGCAGAATCCAATTTTAGTTCAAAAAAGTGCACCTACAACCTCCCTTAGTTGTACGCAAAAAGAGGCCCAACTTGTGTTAGACAACTACATATAGCATGATTGGGCTCCATCGATGATACTTAGCGTCATAAAAAAGAACTCACCATGCACAACTCCATTCGTCTGTATGTCCTTTCTTTTCTTCGGATTTCCATCAGTGCCAGCAGTTTTGTTGCTGTCCTTTGGAAGTTGGGAGGTTACGACACTATGGGAATCTATGTGATCCTCTTTATCGCTCTGTCTTAATTTATCTGGCTCTGCATTCTTAGTTTCATTTTTCTCCTTTGTTTTCTCTTCCTTTTTCTTCTCTTTATCTGGCTCTCCATTCTTAGATTCAGTTTTCTCTTTTGCTTTCGCTTCCTTTTTCTTCTCTTTATCTGGCTCTCCATTCTTAGATTCAGTTTTCTCTTTTGCTTTCGTTTCCTTTTTCTTCTGTTTATCTTTGTCCTTGTCTTTCCCTTGTTTTTTCTTCTCTCTATCTTTGTCCTTGCGTTTTTCACCTCGTTTATCATCACCTTCCTTCTCTTTGGCCTTTTCTTTTCCGTCAATCTTTCTGTCCACATTGCTTGCCAATGGTCTGGAAAGTCCTTCAACTTTAGGTTCAACCATACCAACAAGATTCTGAACCATCGTGTTCCCACCAACCTGTGCTGCACCCCTGACACCTTGCCCATCTGTCCTTCTGTCATCAACTCTCCTGTCCTTGTTCTTTTCCTTAATTTCGGACAAAATGTCATCCCTCTTTCGGTGTGATTCAGTAATCTTCTCAGCGAGATAGTTACCAGTTGCCCTGGCCTCATCTTTACTCCTCCTACCCAACTCCACCAATACAGAATTCTGGTTTTGCTCAGCCAGATGATGGTACTGAGTGAGTTTCTCTGCCTGATGACCTCCAATTTGCCCTGCATAGCTCTTGTCAAAACAGTTGCCCTTGTACTCTTTCTGAATGCATCTCTCTTCACCATGACCCTCTGTTTTTCCTGGAACTCTCTTCTCATCTGAAGTACTAATTTTGTCTTTAACCAGGTCCCTATCTTTCTCCTTATCCTTCTTTTTGTCTCTCTTTTTTTCCTTCTTGTCCTTCTTTTCCCGATGCTTTCCATCACTTTTGTCTGTACTCTCTCTCTTCTCTTTGTCCTTTTTTTCCTTTTTAGGTTTCTTTTCTCTGTGTTTCTCCTGTAATTGTTGAAAAGTTAAAAGACTAACAGGTAAGGATATATAATCTAGATAAACATATATACTTTTTTAATAGATACATAACTAAATAAATAAGGAGGTTTCAAGAATCCATACTGAATAAATAGATAATAAGGACTGCCCTGCAAGAAATGCCACAAAATACAACCAAATCTAAACCTGAGTGAATTCTTTCAGTCATTGAACAATATAATACTGATGTCTACTGATATGTCCACCTTCCAAACGTACCCCCATACCCGTAAAGATAATTGCATTCCTTTTCAAAAGATCCCAAAAAACCAGAAAAGAACAAAGGATAACAAACGTTTGCAGTTTTCAAATAGTTTTGGCTCTTAAGCTATCAAATGCATAGTTTTTGGAGAAATAAAACATTCTGTGAATGGTACACGAAAAGTGAAATCTCCAAACCTACCATCACTCGCTTGAAAAAAAAAACACTTGTTTTATGCATAATCGGAAGAGAGAGAGAGGGGGGGGGGAGAAAAAAAAGACCATTCTTTAGGTAATAGAAATTACAATTAAATGACATTTACAAAGCAGTGTCACTATACTGCATCAGAACCACAAAATTGTACTAAGCCAACAACTGCCACTCACCAAATTGTTGCAACATGAGAACCACCACAAGATTGTTTCCTCATAAATAAAATTTCAGAACTTATATAGGAGAAGAAAGAACTAGCCAAACAGACAGTAAAGTACAAAGTAAGAACTTAAGGCTTACAAGATGGTGCAGAACATACAAAGGCAATCCACCAAAAAACCAAAGTTCAAGACAAGCAAAACAGGAAAAACAACCAAAAAGGAAAAAGAACGTTTTAAATACAAACCAACAACAAAAGACTGATCATCAAAAAACCATTATCACCAAGATAAAGGACAAGCAATACAAGGAAACTTCCTTGGTTCATAGCCAACTTCCTATGCAGTGTCCAAAACAAAATACAGTTAACAATTATCCATACTCTCCAATCTCCCAGTCATCAATCATATCCTACCATATAAAAAAAATCAGCAATCCAAACTTCACAGGACAAAGAAAGGAGGATGAAGAGATCATGACAAGCAAATACGGAATGAGATAACAGAAAAAGAGGAAGAATGTACAATATGATAAAAGCCCAAATCACAAAGTAAAAAAGAACAATAAAAATACACATCATTCCAAATTTTGGTTTAAAAGAAAATCACGGAACCAATGGAAATGACCACCAGCAATGGCAGGCTAGCATAATGTCAAATGGTGACCCTCAATCATATACCAAAGTTGTAAAAGGCTTAAGTAATAAAATGTCGTGTCTTTCTCCAAAAGACATTTAGGCTTAGGTTGACACGATAAGCTCAGAGCAACAATTCAAAGTAATTATAGCCGGACCCAACTGGCATCCTTACAAACAACTCTCTGTCTGCTATAATTCAAATCCAGTTGCCAATTTGTACTCTAAAATTCTGTCAACAACCATTCTCCCCATCTCTGCGAAGGCTTTAAGACGGCATACAAATTTCAGCACCAGAAGATTGTGCTAGCCAACAATTACAAGAACCATTGTTTTATCCAAAACTGGTCTTCAATCTTAGAAAATACAAACTCAAATAGAAAAAAATGGTAGCATATTATCAAATAACATACGCATATCTAGCCATTCCGTATTTCCCTGCTTTGGAACTTACTTGGCCAACATCAGATGCCCAGATTCAAAAACGAACACTAATGCTAATGTGACATATCCTAGAGTTCTTTGTGGAAAACATTCTTGTGCTGCTTCTTCATGTTCTTCTTTTCTCTCCTTGGTTTTACTTTTAAGAGAAATGGAAAGATTTTATTGATATGCCCAGGATCGAAAATATAGTGGAAAAACCCCGACCGACCAGTCCATAATAGCATACAGAAACAACGTACAATAGTAACCTGAGTATAATTATAGCAAAAAAATCTAAGCTTGAGAGAGAGAGAGAACTTAAAATATTTGTGAATTCCACTCCACGTGAATAAGGACAAAAAACATTCTCCGAAAATCCGGGAAATTTGAGCCTGTTGATTCCCAAACAAATTCTATCCCAGAATCTCTGTGTTTCCTCGCCCTAAATTTTTCTTTTTGCCAAAAAAAAAAAAAAAAAAAAAAAAAAAACCAATTTTATTGCAACAAAGACAATAAAACAACACCACTAAAGGAAAACAGAAATGCATGAGGGAAACAAAACCCTCCTAAAATCTGAAAAAATTAGCAGGCCTACAACATCATAGACTCCTCGCCAAGTTAGTAAAGAAAGGAATAAGTCAAATTCATTAGAGACAGACGCCCAAAGAGCATACCAAAACTGGCCCGTTATCCCATAGCTCCTCAGCCCCTACTCCACCATACCTTCAAAAGCCCTTTATTTCTTTCCGTCCAAACCACACAAATCACAGCGAGAACCAAACACCCCTATATAACTCTGCCTTCTTGCCCCTACTAAAACTCAATAAAACGCAGCAAGTAGAGAAATTCCACCATTTCACCTTCGTTCAGATTCGTACCCCTAATATTTTCAGAACCCTATGACTTCTCAAAAACACATTCATAAGTTTGGTATCACCAAATCACACGAGCTCCCAAAAAAAGTTTGTGTGCCAAGCTTTAATGAAATCATACGTCGAGGAATGGAAGTTCTATACTTTCAGGTTTTTTTGCACATGATGCATCAATGCTGGGCCAGACTAGGCCTCCTCTGAATAATGTCACAAGTATTGGCTCCACTTTGAGAAATAATTCAGGCCTATAAGATGAAACTGGGGGCTGGACAAATATGACGTGACTATGTTTGACTAGCTGGTGATTTGTATTGGACTCCTTAAATAAAGCGAGACCCCCATTGTTCAGTATAACCTCGGTTTATGCATCAAAACATACCATCAAGATAGAGTTGCAATCTGATAGTCCTAGCACTAGAAAAGAAAAAGGCCTCAGAGTACTGTTCCAACTTAGAGAGTAATGTAATCTATTGCTGATTCAACATGGCCCCACTGAACACGAATAGAAAATGTTCTCCTGGTCACCAGGTGACGAAGGAATGCATGGTCACTAACCCTTAGATTTGATATCAAAGCTTTAGAATTAAACATGAAAAGCAGCACCAATTATTCTCTGCCCCTGATATCAAATCCAAAGGTGGGTAACCATAAATCCTTAGTAAGAGCAGGACTCGAACATGAATTGGGTACAAAAAAAAAAAAAAAAATCAACCTAATAGTCGCTAACTGGCAAATGACGAAGATTATTTTTACTGGACTTCAACATGCAGGCGAGAAAAGCATCCAACAAATGAATTGATTAGAAATCAGGACAAAAGGACCAGTTTTGCCCAGCAATTACTGGACTCAAACTGGCACTTATAACTTTACTTCATATTTTCTAATTATATTTGTTCCTAAACTACAGCATTATTGAAATAGACAATCTGCAGTCATGACGATGCTTATTTTGTTTGCGTATCGATGAGTAAGCCATACTAGTTAACTGCTGGAACTCAATTGTACTGTGCCTAACGAATGATTATTTCATTTTACCGTTTTTTATCTTTTTGATAAATCATGACTACAATGAATTCTATTATCTATACGAATTAAAAGATATTAATGAAAAAATAAAAGGAAAGAATTTTAACCTTGTTCAGCAAGTCCACATCATCTGTCCTAGCCTTTTTTTCATATCCAGGTGGAGGAAATGGAAAGCAGCGCGACATTGCATAAAGCCTGACAGTACCAAAAACCAGTATCTTCCAAAGAAGAAAACTCCTGAATTAGTTTCCAACAGCACTGTTCCAGAAAGGGAACGAACCAGCAACTATGCTCCTGTCCATGCACCATGTCCCCGCATTCATTCCCAGCATCAAAAACCTGCCATTAGCTTCTCAGTCACTTCAACCAGTCCTTTAATCCTTTCCACATAGATGTGCAGGAAGGTAAATGAGATATCACACCAAACTCACTTGAAAAATCAAGGCTCAGCACAGGACCACCTCAATAGAAACAACTGCAACACAAATATGAACTAAAATCCAACAAAAACCATGAACTAACTACTCCAAAAGCTTGTCTACCAAGAATTTTGTTCAAACTAAGTTAACCCGAATGGTTTTTTGAGAAACAAAAAACAGTCCACCGCAACCTAATTGTCTGTGTTGCCTTATGGGCCAATACAGTATCATCAGCTACTCCTTATTACCAAATAACAAAACAAGATTGATTCCCAGCTGAAGATCAAGCATGTAAAAGCAGCAAAAACCCAGAAGCCCTTTTCTCAAAATAACGATTCGGCAAGTCTATGATCACTCCTGTACCGAATTCAATATGTGCAATCTTCTTCCATGCTCAGAAAAACAACACTTTCCATTATTCTATGCAATCTCTGAGTTCATGTACTCACCCCAGCACTGCCAAATACACAATTCCATTCCCCGAAAGATCGGAGCTTATGCTCATTCGATGCAGGGCCACGATGATCCCAATACTATTCAGTTCCTTGCACTGATCAAACCCTAATTTGTCAAAAACTGCAGAATTGGAGCAGTACCCAGTTGCGATCCAACAAAAACCCTAGAAAATCCACCAAGAAAGGAAACACCAACTATCAAAAACCCTAATCCCACTCCTCAAACAAAAAATTAAGGGAAAAAAATTCAAAACTTCAAAAAGAAAAAAGAAAAGAGAATCGACCCACTTTAAAATTTCAATTTTTATTTCGTGGATACCGATCAAAAGGGCAAAAGATAGTGGATTCAAAGCTTCAATGAGAAAATCTGCGAAATCTGAATTATGGGTATTTGATAAATAACTGGTGAGATTACCTCGTCCACTGCAAAGTGGGCAATGCAGAATGATAGAGGAGGATCTCTCTCTCTAAAGATAAGTGATACAACAAGAAGCAGAAGAATGGGATAGATGATGATAAAGGTAGCAGATTTCTTCTGTGTTTTGCTCTCAGAGTCTTGTAGTGCTTGTATATTATGGGTGGTGTCCGAGTCTGAGCCTCTGTGTATTGTTCGTATGATTTTTGGTATTTTTAGGGAGAGAAAGGAGAGAGAGAGGGCGCTCTCTGTTTTGTGCTCGGAAGTTACACGCGAGAGTTGAGAATTGCGAAGGGAGAGAGAGAAAAGGAGAGCAGTAAAGGGGATTGAAGCACATAAATTGGTGAGACCAACACTACGCAACACATGGTTTAGAGAGAAAGAGTATGATCCATCCAAATCAAGTCCCACGCTCTCGATGCAGTGTTTGGGTTCCAAATCTTTGGCTAATGGTGTCATTTAGTACTACGATTTAATAATATTAAATCGTATTTATTTTCACTTGTAAGTGTAAGGTTAAATTTGATTATCGTCAAATGTGAGTTAAAACCACATTCTTACTACCCTGTGGTGGGCTTTTGTGAAACTAGACTCATCCCCTCTTCTTTAGAATAAATAATATCGCTTAAAATAAAAATTAAAATAAAAAAAATAAAAAAATAAAAAAGAGAAGTCAAAAGCCAATGCCAAGTTAAGTTGCGTGATAAGGTGCTTGTCTTGGTTTGAATTTTTGAAGTTTAAATCATATTGAGTTGTACTTCAGTTGGATGCTTTCTTTCCAAACTTGGAATTTGGCTTGGTTTGTGGTACAATCCCAACACTAATAACATGTTTAGACCATCTTCAAATAAGATGTCAAATATACCAAATAGGATTAAAAGATATTTAAGTGTTTTCCAATGGATATGCCATATATGATGTGGCATGTGAGTCACTTAACTCCTTACTTTCTAGCTACCTTTTTTGACAGCAAACAAAGAAAAAGTCAAATATATTTAATTGAATTTTTTAATACATGGGTCTCATATACAACCAATAGAATAAATACTACAATTATTTTTTATTATTTTTTTAATAGTTAATGTAACTCTAGGCTCAATAAAATAATAAAATAAATATTTGACACATCCATTGGAAAATAAGATAATTTAGCACTTGTATTCAATTTGCCACATCAGCCATCAAATAAAATTTTGACATATTATATTTGACATCACCTTTGGAAATGCTCTTAATGATATGGATTATGTATTATTTAAAAAAAAATCAGGAACTAAATCAACTACGAGACTAGTTATTCCATTTCACTTATAAGTGAGATGTCTTAAGTTCAATTCTCGTCAAAGGTGAATTTGAACTATATTATTGCTAGCTTATTGTGAGGTTAAGCTTACTCCCCTCTTCCTTAATGTAGATAATACCGTTTGTTAAAAAAAACAATTAATGAGAATACACGTTTTTTCGTCTACTCCAATTCATGACTTCCTTTTATGAGTAAGTAAGCATATTTAAAATAGGCAAGCTTTGCTCTCTTTTTTTCTAGACGAAACGTTAGTTTTTATTATAAATTTAAGAAAAGATGCAAATATCAAAAAGGACATTCGAGGTAACATTCAAGGTCTCTCCAAACAAACTCTAACATAAAATAAAAGACCAACTTGGACAAACTAATTGTTATTGTACAATTGCATTTGGGGGCTAGACAAGCTGGAGGGAATAAGTAAAAGAATGCATCCAAATCTTGAATGATTCACACACAAACTCAAAGAATTGAGATGACACTCCAAAGCCAAGGATACATCATTATTGATGAAAACATCTACACACAAAACCTTGAATATAATGGACATGAGAACACACTTTGACAACAAGCAACACTGACTCCAAAGATAAACCGACAACAAACCAGCTAGTGTCCATAACACCATGAATTTTTGCGCAACATCTTCAACGAAGATACTGGTTTTAACAAAGTAGACCCAGAGGATCCAATAACACACCAACACAAAATTAAAATATTCACAAAGAAAGACCCATAAGTAACCTCAATAATAAGACACTTATTAACGGAAGTGCCAAGACGAAAAGTAGATAAGCAACAATCCATGAGAAGATAGAGGAGAAAGGCCATACCATTCATGAAAAATCAACTGTGAGATAAATAACTTATGGATACATAAATCAATAATAGAAACATGTTACACTTGACAAGAAGCAAAATATATAAATCCGAGAAACTAAAAGGCATTAATCTTACGATTCAGTGAGCTTCAAAGAAGTGTTATCAAACGATTTCATGCCTAGTATGGAATGAGTAAAGAATAAAACTACCTTTAGGGTTCTTCTCTTTCCCCACAAGGGAAAAAGCCCCTTCCAGATGGTTGTGATTTCTTACACACCAGACCTTTGCAAGAGAAATGTCACAACAATTTTTAAAGGATACATATTCCATTAAGTGGGTCGGATGTAAGAATTCTAGAGAGCTATTGAGCTCGGTTTTGCTCAAAGTCTTTCGTCAGCTTTAAGTACTCTATATTTTTTTATATAGTCTAGTTCAAAATCTTTCTAGGTATTCGTCTATCCTTTTTGCCCTAAGCCTCCCTTTTGTAGTCACATATTTTAACCGGAGCATCTGTAAATCTTCGGTTCATGTGTCCAAATCATCTTAACTGATATCTCTCATCTTATTTTCAATGGGGCCACTCCTGCTTTACTACATATATTCTTGTTTTTAATCCTATCTTTAACCTATAGTAGTTAAAAATATTTACTTTGCCTCAATGAAAGGACTTATAGCTCTAGTAGTAAAAAATATAGAAAACTTCATTTTAATCCTTGGTAAATATGACTTTTAGATTAAAACCATGAGTAAGATCAAAATCTAATTTTAGTCCCTTGATACATTAATAACCATATTTTTTAATTATATTTTGATTTTTTAATTATTTCTCTTTTTCTTCCTAATTTTTAATATATTAATTTTATTTCATTATAATTTTTATTTTTATTTCATTTATCGTAATATATTTTGTTGTAAACATTTAGATAAATTAATTTTTGTTATACAATATATTTTGATGTATTTTGTCTTCTTTATTTAGGTACATTAAATTCATTATAATACATTTCGATACATATGTTTAGGTATACATATTTCCGTGCATACATTTCGATACAAACATTAGGTACATTAATTCAATATAATACATTTCAGTACTAATATATTGGTTCATACATTTCGATACACACATTTAGCTACATTAATTTAATATTAATACATTTCGGTTCATATATTTCAGTACATACATTTCGGTACTAACATTTAAATACATTAATTCAATATAATACATTTTAATACCAACATTTAGGTACTAACATTAGTTCAATATAAACAGTAGATCAGATATATAAATTTCACTGAAAACTAGTTTTTTCACGTATTTTACGCATGATTCTGTAAAAAATGAAATTATAAGTATAAACCTAACACAAACAACATAATCCATGTTATATGAATTTCATAATCTCCGGGGTCTAATTTGGAGTCTAAATAGGCTAATGCTTTTTAATTTAATCTTTTATTTCATAGAACTTTGACGAAAAGTTTCTGGTACTATTTATTTTAACGAAAAACCATATTTTTACACTAAAAAGTTAATCCTAGTACTATTCACTTTACTCTTTATTTTGTCTTTATTATTAAAATTCAAAGTTTTCAAATCATTTTTATTAATGTTTTTTTTATTTTATGCAGAGAATATTAGAATATTTGGTGTCATTGGTGTGCGTACGCAGCACGCGCTATGAAGAGAGGGTGTGGACAGGAAGACCGCGGCCGCATAAAGGAGGATTTGGGTATTTTACTAAGGGAGCAACCGAGCAAGCACATGCCCCTGGTTCCCTCCCCCCCTCTCTCTCTCTACGGCAGATCTGAACTCCTATTGCTGCTGCATCTCCACGTGGCACCACCCTAACCAATCACACCTTCTATCTGTCCATACACGTGTCGATCTACCACTTCCCTCCAAAACCATAAACCATTATAAATTCCATGGCTGCAAAAGGAGGTGCTTCCACGAAGCAGCTTGTTTAATTGGAAATGGATCATCTCCGTGTTCCTTCCTCATAATCTACAAAATTATGAAATTTATGTCAATGAAATTTGATCCAACGACTACAAATAGAGGTCTACTTTAAAATTTTTAATAACTTCAGTCGTTTGATCAATTTTCAATAGCACGAATTTCCTAATTTGGTGGATTAGGAGGAAGGGATCCATTTCCTATTTAATTGAAAAAGACTCTCCTTGCCAGGAATATATGTGAAATGAACACAGTTCAGTATAATAAGTGATATAATATAAAAGGTTAGTGTGTCGAGAAAATTTTTAATGTGCAGCTAAGACGGTCTAACACATTAAGTATTATAATATAAGTGGTTACAATTATTTTCAATATCCTACTTGTATTATGACGTTTATTGTACCAATATTGTGTTTCCGGCACAATAAAAAATAACACATCCCTGACCGGGTTGTCTATGTATTCACGCCACCCCACGCCCACTTGCAATAAAATGGATGTCTTGCAAAGAGCCCGTGCTTCAAAGCCAAAAAATGTTGCATGCCAAGTAACCTTTTCACTTGCTTGAGCAGGTGGTATGTGCCTAAAGAGGGAATTAGGTCGTGTTTCGTTTGCAGGAGGGTTTTAGTTCAATAATTTGTTGTTATGAACAACAAAATTTGAACATAACCATGCATTATTGAAGAAGACGACACGTGACAAAGAATTTGTTTCATATAAGTCATTCCTCCAATTTAGACTTTTATGATTACTTTTGGAGAAAGCACGCGTGTTGTCTATTGTGTGTGTAATGCTTTGGATTTTTGTGTATGAATTGAGAAAATATTGTTCAATTTCATGATCTGAATATCTTGGAATGTTAATTTTTTTGTTTTAGCTTCTATAGTAATCGTTGTGCATTTTTTGGTGTCAATTTTGTTGGGGAAAATCGATGAAATGTGGAGAAACAATGAAGAAGTGTCAAGCCATAGATTTCGGGGTTTTAGAATGGCCGTCATGGAGAGAAAGAACATGAGTAAATTAGTATTTAATGTTTTTGTTTCATTATGCCTCGCGCCTATTTAACGTAAAACGAACAACTGTCACATTCCAGCATGCGCATACCAAACGCAGCACGGTACCTCCATTCCATTCCATCCCATTTTGTCTTGTCTACGTACCATACACTCCCTATGAGGTGGGTAGTACTCATAGTGAATTCAAGTTTGGAATTTTATTTCAAAAGGCATACATGCTTGAATAGTGAACTATC